ATACTTCTCTTCCTAAAGTCTACTACGTTGTCTGATATTTGTATGGTTTTTTTCACCTTTATTGAGGTATAACTGACAAAAAAAAATGTATATATTTAATATGTACAACTTGATGTTTTGATATACATATACATAATGAAATAATCACCACAATCATGCTAACATATCCATCACCTCACATAGTTATCATTTTCTTTTTTTTCTTTTTTGTGGTGAGAACATTTAATATCTACCCCCTTAGCAAATTTCAAGTATACAATACAATACTGTTAACTATAGTCATATTAATGCACATTAGATCTCCAGAACTTATTCATCTTGCATAACTGATACTTTGTACCCTTTGACCAACATCTCTCCATTTCCCCCTCCACTCAGCCCCTGATAGCAACCATTCTACTGTCTGTAGTAGAATTCTGTGGGTTTGACTATTTTAGATTTCACATATAAGTGAGATCATGGAGTATTTGTCTTTCTGTGTCTGGCTTATTACACTTAATATATTGTCCTCCAGGTTCATCCATGTTGTCACAAATGGCAAGATGTCCTGCTTTTTAAAGGCTGAATAATTCTCCGTTGCCTATATATATATACACCACATTTTCTTTATCCATTCATCCGTCAACATACATTTAGGCTGTTTCCATATCTTGGTTTTTGTGAATAATGCTGCAACCGTCCTGGGAGTGCCGATATCTCTTTGAGATACTGACTTCTTTTCCTTTGGATATATACCCAGAGGTGGGATTGCTGGATTATGAGGTAATTTTAATTTTGGGGGGAAGCTCCATATTGTTTTCCATAGTGGCCGCCCTATGGACGTTTGCCACCAACATTGTACAAGGGTTCCCTTTTCTCCACATCCTTGCCAACAGTTGTTATCTCTTCTTTTGGTAATAGACATTCTAACAGGTGTGAGGTGATATCTCAATGTGTTTTTTATTTGCATTTCCCTGATGATTAGTGATGTTGAGCACCTTTTCATGTACCTGTAGGTCATTTGTATGTCGTCTTCTGAGAAATGTCTGTTCAAGTCCTTTGCCTATTTTTTAATTGGGTTTGATATTTATATAGTTTAACAGCTCTCTATTGGTTAATGTTTCCATTGTATGTCTTTTTTATCCTTTTACTTTTAGCTTTCTATATCTGCATATTTAAAGTATGCTGCTATATCAAGCACCTCTGATGCCCCACCTCATATTCTCTCAGCCCACCTATTACTTGGCCATTGCTGCTGTGACCAGCTTTGCGCCAGTGTGATGTGCAGCAACTCACTGTGTGTGTTTGGCTTTCTGCCCTGGGACTTACACATACACAGTGTGAAAGTATCAGGGAAGTAACATGCCAAGAGGTAACTGTTGACCGATAGGGGACAGGGTCTGATGGATAAAGGCTCCTCACAGGTGTCCCCTCCGAAGCCCCAGCAGCGTGGACTCCCAGTCTCCTGTCGCAGTGCCTAACTCAACATTGCACCTTTGCATTGCCTTGCCTTCCTCCTCTGCATTCCCAGTCCCCAGATCCTACTTTTCTTTCTGTGGCTGCTTTCATGCTCCAAGGCCATATGGCCTGCAAAGCCTACAACATTTGCTATCTGGCCCTTCACGGAAAGAGTTTGCTGGCACTCATTCTCGGGATTATGACATGCATCATGAACTTGTTAACATCTCATAGAAATCAGTACTTTTACCACTTCCTGAACCAGACCTTAGAACAGCTGAACTTTGTTTACCTGCCTCATGGCTTATCTTTATTTTTAAATACCACAAAATACTTTTAGTACCCTTTTATAAGGTCAACATTCATGGAGGTTTACTCGCATGTTTACCGTTTTATTGCTCTTCATTTGTTCCTCTGGGCCAACTTTCCATCCTAAATCATTTTTCTTCTACCTAAAGAATACTCTCCAATATTTCCAGTAGTGTAGAATTTCTGATGACAAATTCTCTCAGTTTTTGTTTGTTTTAAAATGTCTGTATGTACTCTTTTCGAAAGGTATTTTTACTGGATATAAAAATCTTGGTTGGCACTTTAACGATAATCATTTCATTATTTTCTGGCATTCACTGTTTCTTTTAAAATTTAGCTATCTGTCTTATTGTTGCTTCTCTGAAGATAATCTTTCATTTCTTTTTTCTGGCTGCTTTAAGGATTTTTTTTTGGTCTGTCTAGGCTTTCAGCAGTTTACTGTGATGCACTTAGATCTGAGTTTTCTGTTTCCTCTTCTTGGTTGTTTATATTGCTTCATGAATCTGGGACTTGATGTCTTTTGTCAGCTTGGAAAATTCTTAGCTGTTATATTTTCAAATACTGCTTCTTCATTTTCTCTTTTCTTTCTCTAGGACTTTCTAACCATGTCTCATATGTCTCTTTTGCTCTTTTCTGTACTTTTCCTATCGCTTTCTCTCCCTTGCTTCATTCTAGGTATTTTCTTCTGAACTTTTAGTTCACTGATTCTCTCTCAGCTATGCTTACCTGGCTGTTAAACACATTTAATCACCTTAATATAATGATGATTCTAAATGGGATTCAGTCCTGTGAGGGCTGGTTCACCCATACTTTGATGCTATAGCCCTTTAGGGTTCCAACCGAAATCCTAGAGGTACTTTCTAGAGTTCCTCCTTCTTGGTGGGCCCCATATTCCGGTTTTTGACCCCAGCCCCATAGTTTGTTAAAAACACTGCCCAGAAATTATCTCTGTGTTAAATGATAGTGAAGTCCAGTTATCTATCTTTTTTTCCTTTTATGATCTAGTCTAGTCTCTGTGATAATGGTATACATTTAATCAATGTTTAGTGGGTGAAAGAAATAATTTGTTTTATGTTTTCCCTGTAGGCAGAATAGAGAAGCAGATTTTAGCCCAGTATTAGAAAGAACTTACCAGTTATGAGAGTCATCCAACAATGAGAGGGGCTACTCATAAGTAGTAAGTACCCATCAGAAGAAATGCTCAGGCAGAACATTCAAGGTTAAATGTTCCAAGTTTAAAAGTCATTTGTCAAGAGAGTGTGGAGATGATTACAGGTTTGCCATTAATTTGAGTCACAGAACCTCTAAGTTTTTTCCATCTCTTAGTTTTGTGATTCCAGTTTTTGTTTCAACTGTGATCTCTTCTCTCTCTCTCTTTTTTTTCTTAAAGTGTTTGCTTCCTAGTTTCTGACAGTGTAGCTGGTCTGAATTATGGGGTCTAGACCTTCTAACACGTCTTCATAAAAAATAGGGCAGTCAAAAGTCCTGACAGTTAAGAACAAGAGTGTTAAAATGAGTTCACTCTGCAGTCTGACACAGTGAACACGTCTTTGCTTATCAAGGACAGTCATAGGTTCTTTTTAGCAGAACAATCATTCAGTAAGGGACTTTAATGAAATGGAGAGGGGAAAATTGACTTGTTTATATAATGACAGAAAAGCAAAAGATTGATTTAGGTGATTCAGTGGGAGAAACAAAATCAGCAATTGGGAAGTTTACTTCCATGTAGACAAAAGCGATATCTCAGTTTTTGTTCTCATTTATTTATTGATTAATTCAATTAGCAAATATATTTTGAGAACATAGGCTAAGAGAAAGTGTGCCAAGGATCTTATGACAGCTGCTTTGTTCGGTGACAGTTCTCAACATTTTACAAGTGAATTTCATGAAAATTTTCTAGGGGGCCTCACGTCTTTTGAAACAGAATAGTGTCTGCTTCTATTTTAAACTTTGGGGAAAAAAATAAACAATGTAAATACTTTTTCCTTTAAAACAGAGCACCATTGGAGAACATGAGGCCATAACGAGTGGACGTATGTGAGGGTAACTAGGAATCAGATAAATGTGTGGTGGCCGTGGTCACTCTGTTGAGCAGGCAGCTGGTTATCCCTAGCTGACCACAGGTGGTTGTCTCACCTGTTCTGCATTTTAATTTCTTTTATTCCCGGTTATATGTTGTTTAATTTATACCAAGGAAAGATAGTAAGTTAATTATAAAATTAAATAACTTTGCAGATGTACACCAGTCATTTTTATGAATGAAGTTACATTCCTTGATCAAAAACTTAGACATTCCACTCAAGTTTCTGTAAATCTAAAACTGCTTTTTAAAGGCCTTTTAATTTAAAAATTAAAAAAAATAAATCAAGTGTAAAAAAATCTTATATAAATTTCAAGCTGTCTCTGGTATGTCAAAAGCCATTAGTAAAAGACAAAATATAGTGATTACACATATAAGTCTATCCATGACCTCATTGTGTTATATAGAGAAAAGCACTTACCTTGCAGCCTGAAACAAAACACGAAATGTATCAAAGTAAATCATTTAATCTATTTAAGTGAAAAATGCAAGAATTTCAAAATGCAAGAAGTTTTTATCTGCATTTGATACTGAGCTAGTAGTTCAGATTTTTTCCATATTTTGATACACATTATGACCATACCAAGCACAGTATATCATTTTAATTTATTTGTCAAGTATTGTCTTCTTCCTTATATAATTTATTTGATATTTGATAAAATAAAAGTTTTAACTTCAGATAACTTCCTTATCGTATATCACACAAAAATTACAAAGTGATTTTTTAACTTGTTAAGGCTTCTCAAAAGCTATTTAAAAGATTTTTAAAAATTGTGAAATACTAAACTACTGAGACGGGGCGTTTTTCTCCCTATTTTACAAATCAGAAAACAGAGGATCAGAGAAATTGAACCATTTGCCCAAGGACAAAGAATTAATAGATGGCAGAGTCTAGATTCAAACTCAGGATGATCTGAGTCTAAAATCCATGCTTTTAAGCACTTATGCCACTGCATACAGCTGCGTGGGTTGGGGTATGCCATTTACATGGACTATCATGGCAATGGCTCCTCCTGGCCTTGTGCAGAGATAGGCCTGGAAAGATGCTGGCAAAAACATAGAGGGCCAAAAAATATGGCAGCCTCGACAGAACCAAAAGAGACGAATGCCATTGCCCACACTTGCATTGGTTGGTGTGCTGAATGCCTGTCTCCTGGTTTGATGCTCTCCACAGATCTGCACTCCTGACTTGGTGGTATTCCTGGCTTGCACCAATCAGAGGCTCAAAGAAAGATTACAGAAGCGTGCAGAACAACAGGGGCGGCCTGATGACAATCTGAAAGCTACCCAAAGGAGACTAATGAACTTCAAGCAGAACGCTGCTCCACTGGTTAAATACTTCCAGGAGAAGGGACTCATCATGACAGTAAGTTAGCTCTACTTTTCCATGTCTAATACAAGAATGATCTTTCAGATTTCTAATTAGCTCATGTTCTCATTTAGAAATCCCCTTTCTTTAAAAAACTGGCTTTTGGGGCCAGCCCCGTGGCTTAGTGGTTAAGTGTGCGTGCTCCGCTACTGGCGGCCTGGGTTCGGATCCCTGGTGCACACCGACGCACCACTTGTCAGGCCATGCTGAGGCGGCATCCCACATATAGCAACTAGAAGGATGTGCAACTGTGACATACAACTACCTATTGGGGCTTTGGGGAGAAAAAGGGAAAAAAAAAAAAAAAAAGGACGAGGATTGGCCATAGATGTTAGCTCAGGGCTGGTCTTCCTTAGCAAAAAAAAAGAGGAGGATTGGCCTGGATGTTAGCTCAGGGCTGATCTTCCTCACAAAAAAAAAACTGGCTTTTTTGGGGGTGCAGATCCAATGAAAAAATCGATAATTCTGACCTGATATGATTTTATTAAGCCATAATGATAAAAATACTTTAATTTTAGTTTAATTGATTTTACAAAAGATGATCAATTTTAACCTTGGCTAGAATTCTATAACCACCCCCCCCCGAAAAAGGATTTTGAAATGATTATTTGGATAATTTTAAGCAATACTTGCCCAGTTCCCCAACTCTTCTGTCTTTGGATACCTAATAAAATTGATAGACTTAAAAACACACAGTTGAGGGGCTGTCCCGGTGGCGCAAGTGGTTAAGTGCTCGTACTCCGCTTCGGCGGCCGGGGGGTTCACAGGTTCGGATCCCGGGTGCACACCAACACACTGCTTGTCACGTCATGTGGTGTCCCATATAAAGTAGAGGAAGATGGGCACGGATGTTAGCCCAGGGCCAATCTTCCTCAGCAAAAAAAAAAAAAAAAAGACAGGAGGATTGGCATTGAATTTTAGCTCAGGGCTAATCTTCCTCACACACACAAAAAAACACACACAGTTGAAATGGTGTTAAATTGGACTTAAATTGAAGTCAAACTTTGTTTTTCATAATGTATCACATAAAGAAATGAGATTCTGACAGTATGAAAAAGTTTCCTAAGGGTTTGACTTGGCACAAAGAAGTGATGTCTTTAAATGGAAGGTGTTGATCTTTCTGCCCCATCAATACAATGCAAATATTAATGTTTTCATAAATGTTTAGTTTGTTTTGTGGTTAATGATACTCCAAGTGCCAAGGAAGGATGAGGCTGAATCATTAGTTAATACAGTTGTCAGAATACAGGACATTAGAGGTGAAGATTCAGCTAAATTTATGATCCCCACAACATCAGAGATTCAAGTTTTAATTTGCAGAGGAGACGAAGAGGATCATTGGCCATCTGAAGAAAGCATGTTATAGAAGATGTTAAAACCAGAGCAGCTTCTTGACAGCTGGGTGGTGGCAGACCTCGGTGAGCCCTCGCCTCAGCCCTTGGGCCCTTCTCATCAGACCAGAGATTCTTGTCTAGTGGGGTTACAAGCTCCTGTAGAGAACCTGATAAAAGTGACACATACCCGCCCAATAAAATGCACATAAGACGTTTTTCACAAATTTTAGGTAAATCTACTGAAGCCCGTCTACGGAGCTCTTGTGACCTAACAATTCCCAGGTTAAAAATCCCTTCCTTAGACTGAGATGCCTTTAGATCTGAAAGAGACAGTCATGACATTTGAATAATAATCTCTTTGCCGTCTTTTTAACACTATAAAAGAAATATTTATTAGAATTTGCCTTAAAGTTGTCGTGTGAAGAGAGTTGTAAATCTGATCTGAAAATTGTTCACTATGCCAGAGTTTATTTTATGGTCTAAAAGAGACGTTGAGCAACAGGAAGGATTCAAGAAAATCAGGGTGGATGTTTCTGTGGGTATTTTTTGTTGGGGTTGTTGCTTGTTTCTCTTGCAAATTACCAATGCTGACTTCTGCGATGTGTCATGGAAAAAGAAATTTACCGTACAGACCAACCCCCAACCGTAAGGTGCAGAGCCAGAGTTTTAATTGGTGTTTGCAAGGCTTAAAGGTATTACTGGAGTGTCTGCTTACTCCCTGCTTGTCACGTTCGTCATCACAGGCAGAGCTGATTTCCCGAATGAATGCAGAGCGGGATTGTTAATTTACTAATATTTTGCATGGAGGTGAAATGCCATTGCCTCTAATTGAGAGAGTCAATAACAATGTGGATGGCAGCCTGTAACCTCGCCGCTAAAACCAAATGAGCTTTAAAATCAACGCCTCTAATTACAGGAGAAGACTTGCCTTGGAAAATCACCTCTTGAAAAGTGGTGAACGCGAACACAGGCTAAGCTCGGGGAATATAATTTGAAAATTTAGTTTGAGGAAGCAGCAGATGCTTCATCCTGAACCACATGTCCTGCCTTCAGAACACAGACCATACTTCACAGTTGGAATTAAAATATATTTGGTAGCGTTTCTGCTTTTAAAGATGACTTAAATAATAAAAATGGTTATCCTTTTTAATCATCAGCATATTAAAATTTTAATAAAAATTTGAGGGTTAAGAGATCAAACAAATATTTCCTTTTCTCTGCAGTTTTTTTTTTTCTTTTGTTTCTACTTGCCCCTCCTAATTTATTCATTTATTCATTCAGTGAATATTTATTGAGAGCCAGTGGGTGTCAGGCACTCTGCTAGGTGCTAGGGGTGCAAAGCTGAATAAGCAAAGGTAAGGATCTGTGTTTTCTTCACTGACATACTCCAGGCACCTAGAGCAGAACCTGTCTGGTACATGGTATGCTCCCACTAAATGAACAGAGCTTACAGTCTATGGGGAAAGAGGTATTAACAAGTTATTAAGTGTGATGACTGTTGCAAAGGAGAATGTACAGGGTGCCCTCATGTAGGTCCTGCACTGTGTTAGGGACTGGAATTCCCTATTGTGAAGAGAATAGACTCTCTCACCGCCCAAGGGTAGGCTTAACCATTTATCTGGGTGCGAGTTTCTTAAGGACCACAGAGACCACATCCCTCTTCAGTCCAGTTGAGAAACTTCCTCTTGGTGCTCCTCTTCAGGTTTTAGGCCTTTGGAGTCTGAAACCTCTCACTTGAAATCTCAGCTCCAATTTAATAAATTCGTGATACTCTAGGATTTGGTCTCCATCTATAAACTGGAGATGACATTTCCTACCACATATTGTTGTACAGGTAACAAGAGAGAATGTGTGTAACATGGCAGACGATGGCAATGCAGATGCGCCAGCCACACTGCCTGGTTCACCTACCCCCTGCACCACCAGCTGCACCACCTACCACCGGCTTGACCTCCTGTAGGTTACTTATCTTTTCTGTGACTCAGATGCTTAAAATACCCCTGTAAAATGGGTATAATCATCGCTCCTACCTCATTGTAATTGTGGGGAGTAAATGATGTCTCAAGTGCTTAGAAGGGGGCCTGGAATGTTGTTAGGGCAATTTAAGGGATTGATGGTATTTTATAATTTCTATATTCTTCCTCCCTCTTCCTTCCCCTCTACTGCCTATCTTTTGGAACCCACAATTACCACTAACAATTCTGTGCTCTTTGAGGCTACTCGGTTGCATTTTCTCCCATAGATAGATTATTGAAGAAATCCAAAGTGAAGAATTTAGGTTTTAAAAACTTCATGCTGAATTCATTTTTTTCTTTAAAAGTGTCTGTTAATCAGTTATAAAATTGTCCCAGTGTTTTCCTTAACTTCTATAGCATCCATGTAATCAAGCTATCTAATGGCTATGTCTGAATAATGTACTTAAGTTGTAATAGATAGAAAACCCATTCTTTTTTCTTTTTTACTTCATCATTGACTGTGTCTGTTGGCAGATTTGGCTAAAGAACAAACCCAGTGTGACTGAAGAGAAAACCTAATCATAATAGCCAAGGAAACATGCTGTTGCCTAAATATCGTATCTTCTTGACATGGTCCCATCACATGGACCTCTTCATTTTTATTCTTTTACTGTTCTTGTCTGTATACAGCCATCTGTGCAAGTATGAATTAAATGATAGGAAATCACAGGGCCAGTATATTAGGGACTTCACAGAATCCTCTCAGGGAGTTTATGTGTTGTTTTTGAACTTACCATAAGGTTGGATGTAATTTCTCATCATTTTAAAGATTAATACTGTGAGTTCTAATTAAAGACTACGATGCTGTGAGTTCCCAAAGTTTGTCAGAAGTTTTTCTTCGAAGTGTGTTTGAGCATTACTGGGACTAGGAAAGCTGCTTACTGAGTCTGAGTGAGCCGTGTCTCATGACATTTTAGAGCACTTGGACTTGGTGAAAGTATAACTCTTAAACAATTTTTTCCCTTTTATAGATTTTTCAAAAGCCTCAATAATGTGTATGTTTAGTGATAATTCTTTATTGTAAAAGCTTTAAAGAAAACTAGTCTTTGTTTTAATCATCCTCACCAAATTGCATGAAACTTTTTTAAGAAATACCATTAGTTAAGACAAATCAAGTCTTTGTAAGTTTGATGAACTCTTTAAAAAGTACGTGCAGTTTTGTTTATTTTTTTAAGAAAAGGGTCTTTTAAAATGCTTGAAAATCAATAGAGTAAGATGTAATGTGTATGTTATTATTTTCCAAAATGCATTGTGCCATTGGATAGTCTATTCAGCTGGAAAAATGAAACTTGCCAGGTAAATGGTTGCACACTTGTATACACTGAACAAATACTACTTAATATGGATGATAATCAGTGAAAGTCCACACTTAGCTTTAGTCTGTGAAGTAAGCAAATGGTCATTTTTCTTCTGGTGCCCATCCTCTTCTATTTCATCATGTGTGACGCCGCCACAGCATGGTTTAATGAGCAGTGCGTAGGTCTGCACCCGGGATATGAACCTGCGAACCCCGGGCTGCCGAAGCTGAGCACGCCAACATAACCACTACACCACCGGGCCGGCCCCCTCTTCTGGACTTTTCATAGGAGGAAACAAGAGAAGCATAGCTTAAAATGAGAAGTAAGCTGTAGTCATAGGAGGCCTGCTA